TTTGGGGAGGTCTTATTATTTTGGGGTGCGTGGAGCAAGATGGGGCTCCTCTTGCCGTCTTACCTGATTTCCAGCTCTGTGTTTAAATATTTTCGGGGAGGGCTTATTTTTGGGGGAGGCTTATTTTAGCGCATGTGCTCCAAAGCCCGATTGGGCTTATTATCAGAGGATGTCTTATTTTCAGGGGAACAGGGTAGGTACCACTTTGGTGGGAAGGTAACTGTTCCATGCGACTCGGCATATAGTCATGCTGATCACATGATCTCAGAAATGTCTTTGGGCAACGTTGGCTCCCTTGGCTAAGAAATGGAGATGAGCAGCACCCCATAGAGTTGGAAGCAACTGGACAGGGGAAACATTTACCTTTACATTTACCTAGTAGTCCCAAAGGTGCTTTTTCACGAGGCAACTGGACTTTGTTTTTACTTTTCTTTGAAGACGTTTCGCTTCTCATCCAAGAAGTTTCTTCAGTTAGATGAGAAGCAAAACATCTTCAAAGAAAAGAAAAACTAGAAAGTCCAATTGCCTCTTGAAAAAGCACCTTTGGGACAACCATGACCTGGATGACTGAGAATCTCCATAGACTTTACCTAGTGTATGAACAATAAATATGCATTAATTATTTTTAAAAAAAATAGTTTTGGGGTGTGTTTTTTTTTTAAAGAAAATTCTTTCCAAAATATTTCAGTTTTCCAGGTTTGTGGGAGCAGGAACAGACAAAAAAAAAACAAAACCTGGAGGATTCTTCACTCACCTCTGTTTTATATAACACGGACTTATTCTGGGACTTACCCTGTCATTTCTGTTCTTGAAATTGTAGCTACTCAGTCAATGATTTTTCTGTTACACCACAATGAATGTGGTTTGGAAGCTGCATGTGACCCACCCCTATTTTATATGAATAGCTTTGACAACTCATTGGCTTATTTTGTGGCTTTTGTTGCAACCGATTAGCACACGCTTTCTTTTCAGGAAAGAGGGAAGTGGTGTTGCGAGCAATCCCAGCCTTTCGAAAGATTAGTCAGTCCCTCTCATCTTTCTGCCTGGACCTAAATTCTGGATAGGATCTCTTCTGACCTCTTAATTTGCCTAGAAGCTGTTATTTCTATCAGCTGATATCTGCCTGACTATTTCTCGTGGTGTGTGTATGTGTGCGCGCACGTATGTTAGAGGGAGTTTCAGGAAGGGTAGGGCTTAATTTCCACTGGAAGTAATAACAAGGGAGCTGTTTATAATTAGGATGCTGCCCTGTGAGAACCAGGGACCAAAGCCGTTGCATCAGAGGCTATCTGCCACAAATACGATGCCTGCTGTATGTCAGGCTTATGTTGCTGCTTAATCAAATACTCTGCTTGTATTATTACCGTGTACTTGTTCGGACTGATTTTTTGTGTCAAAGAAAAGGATTGTTTTGGATGGAGTTTTCAGAAAGATGGGCACCTTGGCTTCAAACTGGCTTAGGAAAACCCTGTCTCTGCCTAAGGTAAGTCTTAGTTTAAGGCCAGATAGGAGGGTATATGTGGCAAGGAGATGCCAAATTACATTCTGAGCTACTCTCTGAGGGTAAGCGGGAAAATATATTGGCTTTCTATCAAAAGGAATATGCATTCCTCTTTGGTCCTCGGTTGGCAATTTTTGGATTAGATTTTAGGATTTTAGGATCATCATAGGAAATATGGGGAAGATTGCCCTGCCTATTGATCTGATTATAGAGTGCTATATTCATAAAATGTTTGGCTTGGTTATTGGATTAATCCATCTTCTGGGTTCCCAATGTACATTGATCGTAATCTATACAGACTGGGTTTTGGAAAAGGCTAACCAAGGTTTGTGTGTTGTAATTTAGCCAGTATGTTTTTAAAATCAGATCCCCTTCCAAATCTACAGGATGTGGAAAAGGTATTTAATGCCTATGCATTAATACAAGCCAGGTAATATTGTTTCATTGGAGAAAGAACTTTATTTTCTATTTATACAGCACTAACCTCCGGAGAAAAAATAAATAAATGTGCGTTTTGCCATGTATGTGAAAATATTTCATAACGTTCTGTGTATGTCTATGCATGTTCATATAAAGAAGGAAGAACATTTGTGTATCCATCTGCAGGTGTATGAAAAAAACTATTCATAACAGCGTATAAAAGAAAGTACTTAACTTTGTATGAGAAAGTGAAAGAATGTGCATAGTATCACTTTGAGCCATCTGCATTGTGTTCACTTTAGATTAAAATGCTTCCAAAATTCTCACTGAATTCTAAAGATCTGTAATACAGTACTTCCATCTTGTTTCTAAAATAGACAAGATATATGAAGTATTGTTTATTCTGGGAGGTTCTGTGTATTTGCAAGAGACAACAGTTTTCATGTTTTAGAATTGTAGACTGCTCAGAATTACTTAGTAGAGATGGGTGGCCCTAGAATAAAATAATAAAATAAAATAATCTTCACCTTAGTTCAATGTCCTCTTATGAACCATCAGATATACTGGAAGTGCACAGAGGTACATTGGTAAAACAAGAATAGATAGACCTGATAAGATTGGCAATATTGGATTCTCTAGGTTTGGTGAGGTCATTCTCCAAATGCAATAGTTCAACAGTTTTAATAATGTTTTCTACTTTTCATAAAAGTAGAATGTGTCATCCTGCTGTTTTATATGTGTTTGATTCTCATTCTATGTTTCAAGGGATAGAATCCTTCTTGAAATGAATATGCATAGCTTTTGCAATATTGCTAAAAACACATTATATAGCAAATATCAATACAGTCTGGGGTTCCCAATGAGCATAAAAACCTGCATTTGATATCAACACTATTTGGTGTCCTGATTCACACAACATGCTAGACTAGATGAAAATAATAGGGTTGGGTAGTTTGCAGTTCGTGTTATGGGTGGCAGTCCTTTATCTTAGCAAAGTCATCGAGTGAAGCTAGAGCAAGACAATCTATGAGATTGGGGATAGTCTCCCAACATTTGAGTTTCATTTCCATAATGCCCAAGAACATGTTGTTGAAATTGTCTGGCAATATGTCTGAACCTGACTAATGCATATTTTTCTTCTTTATGGGAAGGTAAAGATAGAAATGGGAATAGAAATTGTTTTTTTCTGGGAGGCCTCCTGCTTCTGTCCTCATTCCTAGCCACTTGCTAAATCCAAAAAAATCAGGCTAAATGGGATGGCCTCCTATGACCCTTGCAAATCAGAATGCTAAGTTGCAGCACGTGGCCCTGTGAATGTTGCCCACTCTTGGGTGAAGCCAATATCTAGATTGTTTCCTTGGCTAGAGCTGTGTAAATATCCCAATTGGGTGTGGTTAACTCAGCTTTAGAATTTTAATGTGAAATGGATCCAGCCTATGAAATATTTTTGTCTTGTGGATGCTTCATCACTAGAGGTTTTTAAGAAGAGATGGAATAGCCATTTGCCCAAATGGTATAGGGTTTCCTGTTTGACTTAGAAGACCTCTAACTCTGTTATTCTGATGGAATGGGCAAACACATCCATATATCTCTAATGAAAAAGTAATATCTTTGTAAAAATTTGTTGTAAGAAAAACAGGATAGGTACCTAACCATGAATTGTATTTGGGAATCCATTATGGGAATTAATTTTGGTTTAGTACAACTATAAAGGTTCAGGAAGAATGAACCCGTTTAAAACTCTAAACTGTATAGACTAATAGTTTTAAAAGTATGAATCACTGGATGAAATTAACTTGATATTTTTAATTTATTGTGTTTTCTATATATCATGTCTTGGCTGCTTTGTATGATTACTTATAATTCAGCAAGTATTTGAAAAGAATACTTTTGTTTTAATGATAGAAATTAACCCCACATCTCTCTCTCTCTCTCTCTCTCTCACACACACACACCCTCATGTATTTCTTTGATTAGAACCCTCACTTAGTGTTCCTGCTGGGGTTATAAAGTCACTGAATAAAATAAGCACATAAGGAATTTGGGGAGTGGGGGGAAGAATGGGAACAATGTATAAATAGAAATTTCCTGCTCCAACAATTTAGACATTTCCTCCTGATATTTTGTTCTGGGAAAGTTTTGGACAAGGCAAAGCAGAGTACAGTTCTAGGGACATGAAGAAATCTTGCAGTGTATTATAATGCTTTCTCCTGGTGCTTAATAAGATCATGTTTCTCCAGTAGAGATTTAAAGGGTTCTGTGAAATTGCCTTCTCTGAGAAATCTGCAGTACTTGCTGGTTTATTCTAGAATTAAATCTAGAAGCCAAATTTCATGCAATCTTCTACCCACCCCCCAATCTCTAAATGCTACCAGAGGTTGAATTCTTCAGAGGATCGCTAATATAAAGGTGTGCTTTGTTCAGTGTAATTTAAGATTGCAATTTATAAAGTTCCCAAAAGTCTTTTTAAAAACTGAATTTATCTCCATTCCTTGTTCACACATTTTTGTTAAGAGTTTATGCTACTATCAGATAGCATAGTTTCCTTTTTCAGGCCTACATTTTCTCTCCACTTTCCTAGGGACGCTGGCAGAAAAGATCTGTAATTAAGTCTGAGCATCTTACTGAAGGCCCCCCCCCCCAATATATTTAATATCTTCTATTCAAATTGCGACACAGAAGGGAATATCAAATCGGGACTTGCTCTGGATTTTATTTTCTCCACTTCTCTGATTTTTCTGCTGTGTTATCTTTAATGAGTATCTTCAATATATTATGAAATGGCAACACTATGCAATTGTGCAACTGCAGAGAAATAAGAAAATAGGACTTTAAAAATAAATTCTCCAAATATGGGATGTTTTTCAAAGTGGAGATTTATAGAACTTTTTATGAGCCGCCTCAAATTCACAACCCCTCCTATCCCAACACACATCAGATTTTTATCTTTGCTATTCATATGGGGTTTGGAAAATCAGCAGAGGCTTGGTTTCTTCAGTTTTTCTGCTAATTGTGTCAATCTGTGATGAAAAAATATGACATTTTCCTCTTTATCTCCCTCTTGATTTTTCTACCTTAGGTATTTTCAAGATCCCCTCAAATTATGCAGGCACAACGTAAACCTTCAAGGTAAACCTCAAGAGTTGATGAGTTTCCTGTACAAAGTATCTTATCTATGGAGCTCCAACCACTGTTTTATTTTTAATTAGGAATATAATCCATGCACTATTAGTACCATTAATGTTTCAACCTTGTTGTAAATTGATATGAAAAACAAAAGAAAGAGAGACCAGATTAGACTGTGAAGCCACACTCTCTTCCCACAATGGTAAGCCAAATGTCTCCAGGAAACCCACAGGAGGACACAAACATTCTAGCACCAACAGTTCTAATTCCAGCAATTACTATTCTGTACTATTCACAAAAGGGGCTCAGTGGCTAAGACACTGAGCTTGTCGATTGAAAGGTCAGCAGTTCAGCGGTTTGAATCTAGTGCTGCGTAATGGGGTGAGCTCCCCTTACTTGTCCCAACTTCTGCCAACCTAGTAGTTCGAAAGCACGTAAAAAATGCAAGTAGAAAAATAGGGACCACCTTTGGTGGAAAGGTAACAGTGTTCTGTGTGCCTTTGGCATTTAGTCATGTCAGCCACATGACCATGGAGATGTCTTCGGACAGCGCTGGCTCTTCAGCTTTGAAACGGAGATGAGCACCGCCCCCTAGAGTCGGGAACAACTAGCACTTAGGTGCAAGGGGAACCTTTACCTTTACTGTTCACTACTCTCTACTCTGGAGGAACATGATATGTTGTAGAACCCAAAAGTTTTGTCCTCCAAGAATTTTATACTTACACAGAACCATTAGTATAGATCTGTGTTTCTCAACTTCAGCAACTTTAAAATGTGTGGACTTCACCTCCCACAATTGTTGAATGAATAATTCTGGCTGGGGGATCTTGGGAGTTGAAATCCACACATCTTAAACTGGCTGAGATTCAGGAACATGGATGTAGATGTTATTCCAGGGGTGAAATGCTCCTGGTTCGGACCGGATTGGGCGATCTGGTAGCAATTGTGGCAGGTGGTTCGAAGAACCAGTAGCAATGGCGGTGCGAGGCTCCACCCACCTGCCCGTTTGTCATTACTTCCTGGTTTTAACCAGGAAGTAATGTGTTTTTTACCCTCTACACATACGCAGAAGTTTTTGCACATGTGCAGAGGGTCTGCGTGCGCATGTGACTCACGCGGCACGTGCACTTCCGAACCAGTAAGGAAGGTAAGTAGATTTCACCCCTGTGTTATTCTATTTCATGGAGGGACTCTAATTCACCAACATTTGTCTCACAATAGTTTTATAAGTGCTAGAAGACTCTTTATTGTGTTTATTGAACATTTAGTTCTTTGCTACCCACTGTACAAATGGCTTAATTTTGATGTATTCATGTTAGATCTGTATTCTGATTTACCGTCAGGAATTCAAGGCAATATACTCTGCACACCCTCCTGATTTTCCCTTGTTGCCTTGCCCTCATCCTATGATGCCTTAGACCTCTTGAAATGATTATCTGGTGGTGTATTTTCCCTTCTGCAATGATCTCTGGGAAGCCCTTGGTTTCATATCCTATTTAATCCAGCCATACTTCTTTATGGAAAACTGGTTTATATTTACCAGCATTTCAATTAAAAAAGGAAGCTGCAAGTATCATCTTGCAGAAAAGTGTAATTTTGAATGGAGTATCCTGTTTCCCCAATTCAGATTCAAAAATGTTCATACAAGGAAATTTAATTAAATGTTTTTCTGGAAAAAAATGTTGAGAACAGAATCTGAGAAGCCAACTTGTTAACACTCCAAGAACACACTTTAGAATTGACAACACAAATAAAGTGAAAAAGTGCTTGCTGATAAGTACACAGGCAGATCCTTCACAACTTAACATCTTATATCTCAACTGTTGATTATTCAGTTGTTTTTCTTTGGCCTAGGAACTTGAGCCTAAACCAGGCCATGGAAGACACTTGTGAACTAGACCTGGTATATGTCACAGAACGGATAATTGCTGTCAACTTTGCAAGTTTGTCGGAAGAACAAACCTTCTGCAGCAACCTGAAGGAGGTGGCTCAAATGCTTAAATCCAAGCATGGGGACAGTTACTTGGTAAGAAATTTGGAAGGTTGTGACTCAATTTCATAACTTGCTTTGAAAAACTTTCCAAGAAGTGAATGTTTTCTGGAATTTTGTCTTGGTGTTTCACTCCAAAAAGAGTTGTAATATCTTACGGATACTGATCTGAACTTTTTCCAGAACTTATTCTTTTTCTAATTATCCTTACTACATGAATTGTTATTTTGTGATATGGCATCCCTTTGCCAATTCATCCATTCACCTTTATTATCAATTCTGAAGACTATCTTTTATTATGAGGTAACTCTAACAGGGCCAAGATCCTAAAAACAAAACAAAACAAAAACATTGTCTGTCATAGTTTCTTTTCAGTTTTCATTTCAGTGAGCTGCATGCAATATAATTAGACTGCTTGGTGATGTCAGTAATGAAAAGCTTAAAAACTCATATTTGAAGTTTTTGAAAATTTGGAAAGAGAAAACTTCTATATGTCTGTAGGTATTTCACTGACCTGAAACAATGTATTTTTGGCTTCTGGATGTTTTTCCACCATTCTGTACGAAGCCCAAGATACACCACACAAGCTGACTCTTCTAACCTTGTATATTTCTTTTCTCTCTCTCAGCTTCTTAATCTGTCAGAGAGGAGGCATGACATCAGCAAGCTGCATTCCAAGGTATGGTGTCCTGTACTTAAGCAAATAACATTTCCAGTAGAATGGTTGGATGAGAAAGAGAACTGGTCCAGGACAGGGGTGTCAAACTTGTGGCCCGTGGGCCGGATGTGTCACGGGCTGGTCACACCCATTCTGTTTTAGTTAAAGGAAAAAAGTCACGATATGTTATGTGAAGGCAACGTGGCACGAGTCTGACACCCCTGGTCCAAGACAAAAACTCATAATTTTTTCACAGTTACAGATTAGTTACTAAGTACATTACATATACTATCCTATAATCCCATAAACAGGTATTGTATTCCCTGAAATTTAAGGTCATCAGAACCTTGAAGTGCACCTGTGGGCACCCGTAGCCAGAAATACAGTACGTCTGCAGAACCTAATGATAAAATTACTTAATGTTATGTTACACATATTTTTCAAGAGGTTGGAGGTCTTTATCTGAAATCCCATAAAACCTCAAGGAGTCAAAATGTCACAGATCTGCTAGAGTATGTATATTTTAATGTGTTCTTCCTTCTCCATTAGTGATGACCCTGTGAAAATGAATTTGTGTGTGCTCTGTAATTCAGAAAAAAATCAGCTTTTGGAGCCTAGGTTCCAAAATCCCAAACCGTTTCTCAGAATGGAGAAATCGATGTTTGCTAGGAAACAAACATGTCTGATTCCAGTTGCTATTTTGAATAATAAAATAAGTGGTTTCAGTTGCCAAGGAAAGTGTGGGTAGATTTATGTACATTGATTGTGCAAATTTTCCTGCATGCATCTTTTTGACAGCTAGACAGTATCCAGTATCTGCAAACGAAGGGCTCTGATTTTTTTTCAGACCCTGAATTGAAGAAACAAGCTCCACTGTTTACATATGATTCATTGGACTACATTCTAAAAAGTTAATGTTAACTATGAAGCCATGATCAATTTCATTTACTGTAAACTTACAGTCTTTTAAGACCACAGCCAAGGCAGCAGCTACACTTCTCTTCAGCTACTTTTTGCCTCCAAATTGGGTAATCACGGAGAACTGCCTCCTCTAGGTGCATCCCACTCTTTGGGCCATTAATCACATTGTGTAGCCAATACAAAAAGGTTGTTCCTCAAGCTACAGCCAGCACTTGCCTCTGCCTCTGCTCTAAATTCTGGAAATGGTCCTAGTATTGTAATCTAGGCTTGCCACTATATTTATCAGGTGATTTTGGCCAGAGGTTATTCAGGCTGAATTAGCAAGATGGAGGAACAGAAGAGGAATGAAAGGTGAACTTCTATGATTGAGAGGCAGAGAGAGGAACGGGTTTTCAAACGGCAAGCCTTTTACTGGAGTGGAATAATACATGGAAAAGTGAGATGAATTATACAATGGATTTCATGGCATTTACTTCCTTGATTACTCTGCTTTTGTACAACACTTTTTGAGCAAGAAATTTAATTATTTGTTTCAAACATCCTCATTTTTTCCAATGTTAAAGAAACAAATCCCAAAGCTTATAGGATAGTAATTTGCTAAAATCTTCAGAGGTGTCATGACAGACTCATCTCCCCCTCTGGAGCCGAGGTAGCATAGTGGTTAGAGTTCAGTACTACAGGCTACTTCTGCTGACTGCCGGCTGCCTGCAATTTGGCAGTTCAAATCTCACTAGGCTCAGGGTTGACTCAGCCTTCCATTCTTCTGAGGTCAGTAAAATGAGGACCCAGCTTGTTTGGGGGCAATATGCTGACTCTGTAAAACCACTTAGAGAGGGCTGTAAAGCAGTATATAAGTCTAAGTGATATTGCTATTGCTGGGGTTAAGTCTATTATCTGTTGATGAAGGTTTACAACATTCATAGTCTTCATATTTTAAAAGGCAGCATTTGTGAAACATTTTGCAACTGAAAACCACCAAATAAACTCTTGGAAACTGCATGGATAACTAAATTATACAAATTCCTCTCCCTATATCTTTGTCTTTAAAAGTGTGGGAATTCATGTTTTTGGGCAAGTAAGATAATAATTATAGTTGCATTTGGATATGCTTCCCTATCCCCTCCACTTTTATAGGTCTTTTAAAACTAAATGTTGGGCCAGAAAAATCTAATTCTAAAAGAAATATTTAATTAAGACTACTTTATCACTTGAATTATTTTATGTGCACATCATATAACAACAACTCCAATTTAAGAGTTTCTTTTCCCCTGGCATGACCATGGGGATTTTAATGCATTGCTTGCATTCAATAAAGTGTTCAGAGTCATTGCAGAGTGTTCAGCCTTAGATATTTTAATTATTTATACATAAAATAACGAAGAAACCAACTAGCTAACTTACTTGCTGATTAATATATTATTCAGTGCAAATCTCTTGAGCTGTAAGAGGCTAGGCAAATAGATTTCTAGCCCAATGAAATCTTGTCCTTATTTATTCATTGTTGCATTTCCTATTCACTGGGTTTCTTTGGAAATGCTTCTGTGTGATCACTTTCACTTTGACAGCATGTATGAACTCATAACTAGCAACTGTACTTGAAACCTCCTCCTTTTATCCATTTTCAGAATTTTAAGAATCATGTTGCTATTTGTATTATCCCTTTCATACTTGAATTATTCAGTTTCCTACCAGTTGATTCATGAGGATAACCAATAGCACTAACAATAGCACTTAGACTTATATACTCCTTCTCAGTGCTTTACAGCCCGCCCTAAGCAGTTTACAGAGTCAGCATATTGCCCCCAACAATCTGGCTCCTCGTTTTATCAACCTCGGAAGGATGGAAGGCCAAGTCAGCCTTGAGCCTGGAACCTTGAGGTGGGAATCAAACTGCTGAAGTAGCTTGGAGTATTGCATTCTAACCACTGTGCCACTACAGTTCTTGACTCAGCCAAGAAATGGGGACTGAAGGGACAAAGAGACTTCAGACAACTGATTGGTAATAAATGGAGGGAGGATGCAGTGGGGGCATTTAGAACTAAAAGAAGTTCTAAAATAATATTATGCAGTTTGCCTGAGGTTTCCAATCTCAACATTTTTTGAATTAAAGCTTTCCTTGAAGAACTGTGAACAATTTTTGCCCATGCCAATTTTTGTGACTGAGTTATGGTAGTTATTAATACAAGTACTTACATTTATTGATATATTCTTGGGCCATTGTGACAGAACCATCAGCAGGGGATTGCTTGAAAATAGTAAAGATATCCTTTCGTAAAAATAAATGAATTAGATCATCAGCATCATCACCACTCCATTTGAAGCGAAACTTAAAATATTCTAAGATTAGTAACTATGGACATTCTATGTCATCCAGGTCACAGTTGTCCCAAAGGTGCTTTTTTTCCCCCAAGAGGCAACTGGACGTTCTGGTTTTTCTTTGAAGACATCTTGCTTCTCATTCAAGAAGTTTCTTCAGCTCTGAGCTGAAGAAGCTTCTTGGATGAGAAACAAAATGTCTTCAAAGAAAAACCAGAACGTCCAGTTGCCTCTTGAAAAAAGCACCTTTGGGTCTAAGATTAGTGGTTGCTTTTCTGAGAAGAAAGTTACATTTTTACTTAGAAAAACTAATGCCAATTCTCCCTTGCTTTCTCCACTTTTCAATCAACTAGTATAAATCAGGGGTGAAATGCTCCTGGTTCGGACCGGCTCGGGCGAGTAGGTAGCGATGGCGGCGGGCAGTTTGGAGAACAGGTAGAAAAAATCCCTGTCCCCGCCCCCCATAACCAGTTGAGCCGTGCGATCATCAGAGCCTTTTTTTTTTCTTTTAAATGGCTCTGATGATCCAAGCTCTGACGATCCCAGCTGAGTTGCCTGCCGATCAGGCAACTCAGCTGGGATCATCAGAGCCTTTTGAAAGCATTTTTTTACATGGTTTTATGCTTTTACATGTAAAAAATGGTTTTAAAAGTTAAAAAAAATGGCCACGCCCACCCAGTCACATTACCCAACCCCTCACCAAGCCACGCCCACAGAACTGGTAGTAACAAATTTTAGATTTCACCCCTGGTAGAAAATAATGTGCTCCTTTGACAAAATACTGTACTGATGAAGTTACTAGATGAAGATGGAATCCTGGTTCTGACTTGAGATATCCCCTGGTGATTAAACAAGATTTGTTACCAAGGACTCACTATTGGACAAAATCTTAATAAATCACTGCTGCTTCCATGGACAGGAAATTTCCATTTTGAGGAAGCTGCTGTCTTGGAAATTGATGAGCTGTGAAAACACCCAGAAGGAAACTAAGAGTTGTAGTTAGTTTATAGCTAATTAACTCTGATCAGTTTCATTCCTGCTCCCCTTGCTTCAGTTTGCTGGATGTGTGGAAGAGTTGGAAGGAAGTGAAGACAGAAGCAAAAGCTCTGCCAGCAGTCAAGATTGCCTGGATCAATCTCAAATGTTTTTCTGTAAATGGAATGCGAAAATGACCTTGGAAGACTGGGGAAGGGAGGAAGAGATGCTACCTAGGGAATGATCAAATAAAATGAGGAGAAGCCAGCAATGAGTAATCGGGCAGAAGGAGAAATTTAGAGAGGATCCACCCTAACTTATCAGGTCATAAAAAAGAGGGAGATTTATATTTTCAGACATGCTATATTCTGTTAATGTCGTCTAGCAATAAAATACAATTAGTTCATCTGGCCATGTTTTCTGTCTGGTCTACTTAGGAGGTTGACATCAGTCTTGCAAGTCTGAAAATACAAATCTCCCACCATCTTTTTTTTTTTTTTTTACTGCTTGTTAAATTAGGGAGGATCCTTTCTAAGACTTTCTCTGCCCATTACTCAGTTGTGGGCTTCTCTCCCTTTTATCTGATTGCTCCCCAGGCAGCATCTTTCCCTTCCTCCATCTTCCAAGGTCATTTTCACATTCCATTATAGTTTCAAACTGGGATCAAAAGGATTGGGAAACAAAAAAAGCTTGGCAATCTCCAAAGTTCTGTAAGCATATTCTGACGGCTTCTGGCAATTAAAATCTCTGTGACATTATGGCAGTGAACATAGTGAAACAAACAAACCAACAAACCATGGTTGACTTTACATTTATTATTAGCTGACCTAAAGTGTATTGATGTGCCAACTGAAAGATAATGACCCTTCTTTTTTAGCACTTCTCCAAAATTTGTGATGGAATTGTCCAGTCCAAATATTCTATCAAAATACCCACGTTGGGGGAAATGCCATGCAAATATGTGTTTATTGGGGAAGAACCTACAGAAACACATATTACTTTTCACATGAATTCTGCTATCACAGTTTGATGAAAGAAATGAGTCAAACACACTTTGAAAGACTCAAAAGCAATTAAAAGTGAGCCAGTGAAATCCATCTATCCATCTCCAATTACAACTCCACATTCTCTGCATGCCGAACGTCTTTGTGGCATGCAATTCTCTATTCTTGCATAGAATCTGTTTGCAGGGATGCTCCCAGCAAGGATTAAGTGTAGAGAAATTGAGAAAGTGCCAGGGAATTAGGCAAGGCTCCACTTTTTAAAATTGTGTGTGTAATTTGAAATGAAAGTGATTCCCAAGGAGAGTTCTTTTTTCAAGGAAAAAAAATCCTCATTTCATATTATCCACCTGAATGATGTGCATTATTATTTTTTCTATTTAAACTTTTTTTTTTGGGTGGGGCAACAAATTTCTAAGATAAGGTTGATGTAGTTTTGATCCAGCTTGATTTACAAGGGAGGGTGCTGCATCTTAATTTCATTCCTGGTTAAGAAGGTGCCCCACCAATTTCTAGCAAGGATTCCTAAGAGTTGTCAGGTTGTTAATGTTTGTCACCGCATAACTTGCCTTGACCAATTTTGCCAACACAGGCAAGAAATGATTCACAGTAGTGTCTTGAATGAATGAAATAGAAAATCCAAAAGATGTCTTTGTCAGCAGTCATAAACAATAATAAAGAATTGGAAAATAGCTTTCTTAAAATGAGAACTGTAGGTGCATTTGCCAAATGGTAGAACCAATCCTGCAGATTTTGTGTTCTGGAACAACTTGTGAAACTGTCTGATAACCAAAAGAACTTAATATAGAAATCCTTTTATAACAGCTTCATGTCTTTCTTACCACACTTGGAACCCCTTTTTCTCCTTGTACCACAGGTCCTGGATTTCGGGTGGCCTGACTTGCACACTCCTGCCCTGGAGAAGATATGCAGCATCTGCAAGGCCATGGACACATGGCTCAATGCTGACCCGCACAATGTGGTAGTGCTGCATAATAAGGTGAGAGGAAAGAAAAGGAAATCCCTGGAGGATGGTTGTAGGGAGAACTGTGGGTTTTTTACCTCTGCTTACGTGCCACAGTTAAGGCAGCTAACATTTAGCACAGGAGTCACCAATCTTTCCGACTCCATGGACCAGCAGCGGTGGAACCAGTGGCGTGATGGTGGGGAGAGGGGATGGTTTCGCGCATGCACCTGCCACTTGTGCAAGTGGAGCTTTGCATACTCACACACTTGCCCGTCGCTGTGTGGCCCAGTTCCCAATGGGCTGAAGACCGGTACCGGGCTATGGATCAGGGATTGTTGACCCCTGATTTAGCAAACAGATTGAATGTGGCAAAGGGAGTTTCTGGATAGTTTTTATTCTGATTTTGTAAAGCAAATACGTGACCAGTGCATGTGATCTTAAGGCCAGCTTTGTTTATGGCAAGAAGGGCCCCCTCATTCTCCTGACTACAACTTTCTTGCTTACGGCTAAAGAATCATCTTCTGAATTGTTATCCACGAACAGACAGTGTATTCTTATTTTTGGCAACGTTCTATCTGCTATTGCCATGCTTGTAGCAATTTGCTATGCACAATTGTCTATTCCTCCCTATCCCTGATTACTGTAAAGCAGTTTTTTGCAAACTTTGTGCTAGATTTGGCCTCAGCTGGATGTTCAGCCTGTGCCTCAGATAGTGATGAAAACAGGATGTGTAATCTTAGCACTGCTTTCTTGCGATGGGAATATTTTCAGCTTTTTCCACCAAACTTCCTGTTCTCACTGTTTAGTTTTCAGTTTTATGGGTATTATTCAGCACTCTTATATAATTGTTTGTTGCTGTGCATTTGTGATTGGTCTATGCGTGCTTCTGCGTTGCTGGTGCTTCCATTATTTGATACTGTTATGCTTAAAGATGTTCCTATACTATATTGGATGTCCCTAAACTATATCGGATTTGATGTAGTTTAAAAGTTGATCCCTCTTCCCTGGACATTCTGGATACTATAGTCTTGAAAGACATAAAACATGAGTTTTAGCAGCTGCATCAGATAAGACTTCCCAATAATTTTTGAAGAAAACATTGAGTAGTGAAACTGGGACAAAATTCAGTTACATCTACATGCCTAATACATCAATAGAAACTTTCTTCCCATGCTTGTTGCTCTTGATACTCTTTGGTTGTGTTAACGTAACATGTGTAAGCAGTCGGTTGAAGAGCTGTCAGCTCACTTGTCCAGTGGGCCACACTTTGCTTGCTTTAACCTTGGTCTGTTTGTCTGTTGGTTGATTTAGCCTGCTTGCAAACTCAGCCTATTTATTTAGCTTATGGTTGAGTATCTTATGCAGGTCTAGGAAATAGATGGATTCACCAACCAAGGTTGTGTGAAACTTATCCTTCATTACCAGAACTTGAAAATGAGTTTTTACTGTAACTGTGAGTTTTTACAATCTTTACAGTGGGGTGCAGTGGTTAGAATGCAGTATTGCAGGCTAATTCTGCCGACTGCCAGCAGTTTGATTCTTACCAGGCTCAAGGTTGACTCAGCCTTCCATCCTTCCGAGGTCGGTAAAATGAGGACCCAGATTGTTGGGGGCAATATGCTAACTCTGTAAACAGCTTAGAGAGAATTGTAAAGCACTATGAAGCGGTATATAAATCTAAGTGCTATTGCTACTTTTAACTAATTTGTTCTTATTCTTTTGGAGCTGCTAGATATTGAGGCCATAGCTTCCATTCTCTTGCTATTACTCTGTGATTTGTATTACTCCAGTGAAGCAGCATTATTGCTGTAATTTGAACTTTTTGTTTTTTCCATTCGCATTCTCAAGCACAGTTCAAGTTTCTCATGAAATAAATACATATGTGTGTTCTTACTTCTTTGTTAAACACATTAGCCCCTGGGCTGAATTGCAGAAAGGGGAAAAAGTAGGAATGTTGTCCTCCTAGGAGAGTAACATTAAATCAGGGAATGTCATGGGGGTCGCAGAAGGGGGAAGTTTGCCATTACACTCCATGTGTCTCAAGGGATATAGGGAAGGACTAGTTACTCCAGTTAATAGGCTTTCCTGTCCAAAATTCCCTAGGTAGTAGTGCACTTGGGAAAATTTCTAAAACTGCACACTTGGCCCTCCAGGGAAACTGCATTGAACATCACTTTGATTATGTGATTGTGAGTGCACGGAAGACATTAAGTTTTGATGAGTTGTAGATTGGACTGGATGACCATTAAGACTGATTCCGACCCCATGTTCTGTGGTTCAGTGATCTGATGTATTTTATGCTTTGATATTGTGGTCTATTTGTGCACGAGTAAAGGAATATACAGGTCGTCGTTGACTTACGACCGTTCGTTTAGTGACTGTTTGAAGTTATACAATGGCACTGCAAAGAAGTGATTTCTGACTTTTTGGTTTTTCATAGTTATGACCATTGCAGCCTCCCCATGGTCACGTGATAAAAATTCAGACATTTGGCAACTGTCATGTATTCATGATGGTTGCAGTGTCCTGGGGGAATCACGTGATCAGCTTTTTCAACCTACTAACAAGAAAGTCAATGGGGGAAGTCAGTTTCAGTTAACAACCGTATTACTAACTTAACAACTTCAGTGATTCACTTAGCAACCGTGACAAAAAAGGTTGAAAAATGGGGCAAAACTCACTTATCTTGCTTAGCCATGGAGGATTTTGGTTAGTAGTGGTAAAGGACTACTTGCAGATACTTTTAAATACTACACATTTTTTTAAAAAAATTTTTTTTACACTTCCTTATAATATGATTGATTTTTTTACAGAAGCCTCTTGAAACAAGAGGGCCTCATGAAATTAATCTGCAGGCTGCAAGTTATATATCCCTGAAACATGTAAAGGCTGACAACAGACTCGGAGCCAAATTTGTCATGATGGGGCAGCTGCTCGCATATTTGCTCTGCTCCCAAGAATAGGATCAGATAGGATCCATGCTTTCAAAAACAGGGAACTGCAACAGAGTACTAACAATTTATCAGACACATCACTTTTCTTCTTGTGTTCCTTTTACCTCTGCCAGATGAGTTAAACATTCTCAATACAAGGGAACATGGAAGGAAAGGAGAGTTAAATATCCCTATCAGTTCACATCAGGGTTAAAAAAGGGAGATATTGTACTGCCAATGAGAATGGAGGAAAGAAAATAGATGTAACTGCCCAATCACACTCTCCATTCCATATTCTGCACTGTCCATTGTGTTTTCCAAGTAGTCCTCGACTTACGACCACAGCTGAGCCCAACCTTTCCATTGCTAAGCATTTGTTAAGTGAATTTTGCCCCATGTTATGACCTTTCTTGCCACAGTTGTTAAGCGAATCACTGCAATTAGGTTAGTAGCATGGTTGTTAAGTGAATCCGGTTCTCCCATTGACTTGCCTTGTCAGAAGGTCGCAAAAGGGAATCACATGTCCCTGGGACACTTGAACCATCATACATATGCCAAGCGTTTGAATTTTGATCATGTGACCGTGGGGATGCGGCAACAGTTGTAAGTGTGAAAAACGGTCATAAGTCACTTTTTTTCAGTACTGTTATAACTTCGAATGGGCACTAAACAAACTCTTGTAAAGTCAAAGACGACCTGCGCTGGCTTTCTAATTTTAAAACAGCCCTGAGATGATGCCCTAATTTGTCCTTCCTCTCTGTGTTTGAGGAGTAGCAGAGGTGCACAGGTTTTCTCCAGAATTTTTCCGAGGAGAAGACTCTGAAATAGCAAAACCTACCCCAAAAATCCAACCAGCACAGTTATTATTCAAGGGGGCAGCGCCATCTATTGGTTAATTTGCTCCATCAGACTACGATCCAGCCACATTTATGGAATAATAACGTGTGTTGGTCCTTATAGCTTTCTTAATAAATTTTCCTTCCCTTTGGAAACCATCGTTCAGTTATGCCTTCCTGTAAGACATTCATGGTTGCTTACTTTTGCCGACTTACTTGAGCCGTGCCTCTGTTCATCTGTCTTACTATTTGACTAGACCAAGCGGCATCTGTTCCCATTCAAATATGTCCATGTTATGGGGAGTTTATTCCTGGAAACGTGCCAGGAATTTAACCTTTTAAAATTTCAAAACAAATCAATGCCACCCATACCAGACTTTTCTCACCTGATGGCCTCCAGACGTGTTAGAATTGAAGCTTCCAAAATTCTTAATCAGGTGATGGATGTTAACGGGGCACCTGGGAGCTGGGATCGCAATATAGCTGGAAGATGCCAAATTGGGGAAAAAAATTATCCTGCACCAGTGCACGGAGTTTATTATGGATTTGCTTTCAATTTTTGAAAAAGTTTTGATGTATTTTATGACCAACATGGTTAGAGACACATTGTACGGGGAAGCATAATTACAAATAGAAATTTGAGTACACATTTCTAGGTGACATTTTAAAAATCAGATTAATGCCAAGCCCCTGCAAAAGGTTAATTGTCCCATGTAATTAAAATCTCTTTCCTTCAGAAAGGGCTATCCAAATGGCATTAGTAAAGATACAAGGCCTGTAGTCTTTCCTCTTCCAGGCATGATTACTGAGGATGCTGATTTATTACTTCCTTTCTCCTTTTCTTTATGTCTGCAGGGGAACAGAGGTCGAACAGGGGTTGTTATTGCTGCTTACATGCACTATAGCAATATTTCAGCCAGGTAAGAAATCTACATATTGGGGTGTCTATAAAGAGCTAGAAAAGCAGTGGCTTTAATTCAGACATGGTAGTGATGTTGGAAATCTGCTTATTTAGAAACTTATGAAGTCCACTTCGATAATAGAATCCAACCCAAACTTTAGACAAAACCTGATTTCCCTCCCAATACACACTCACAAATACACATCTTTGCCAAGCCTTCTGACATATTTATCAAACATAGTGAAATTGTTACATAGTTCTAGCATGTTGCCTAAAATTATTACATGGATCAGGAAATTGCATGGAGATTTATCCAACAGATCTTTTTGCTGCTAGAAAAAGCATCTCTATTTAGTTCATAAGGACAGGATGAGTTTTGCTAACCACAAGTGAACAAGCACAAAGTAGAGAGACCAAGGAGGGAAAATGAAAACATGAAATACATATTTACACCTAAAATTACTGAGCTGGAGTGTAAGCATGTTATTCTCAATATTGGACCGCATTAATGATTGAAGGATGTCATGTTGCATTTCTACAATTAAGTAACCCATCCCCACTCCAGATTAGAAGTTGGAACTTCAAACAGGGGGTAAAATGGTAAAATACTTGTTACAAAAGACAAAGAGTCAGTATCCCACGGTCTAGATGCAAATGTAAAACATAATACTTTTCTCAAATCTGGTACCTTCCTGATGGGTAGGAATTAGTTAACCCAACTGGAGGGCACCAGTTGGAGAAAGACTGGAAGGAGATGATTAAAGTTAAATGGCTGTTTTTAAACTGGCCCAATACAGTTTTAAATTTAAATCAGCAAATGTTATTTTACGGATGCAATTTTAGTATTTGTGATTGAACACAAACAGTGGTGGATGGATGGGCCAAAGTACTGCAGAAAGAACTCCCAAGGAAACTCTTATCATCCCAGAAGTAGAATTTATACTGACACTTCTCTTTATTCCACAGTGCAGATCAAGCTCTGGACCGGTTTGCCATGAAGAGGTTTTACGAGGACAAGGTGATCCCAGCTGGGCAGCCATCTCAGAAGAGGTTAGTCTGCCTCCCCTTCTAGGGAAAAACCCTTATGGTGCTTTCAACACATACATGTAGAGATGTTCAGAGGCTCACTCCAATCTCTCCATTCACATTAATATTACATTTTCTATTTGTGTACAAAGAGTAAGCCTCAGTATTTTTTTATTCATTGCTTGTTCAGAACCAAAATTTAACAAATCACATAGTTGTTGAAATTAGGGGTAAAGTAGCAATAGCATTAGCAATAGCACTTAGACTTCTTTACTGCTTCATAGTGCTTTACAGCCCTCTCTAAGCGGTTTACAGAGTCAGCATATTGCTCCCAACAATCTGGGCCCTCATTTTACCAACCTCAGAAGGATGGAAGGCTGAATCAACCTTGAACCTCACCTTGAACCGTGAGATTCGATCTGCCAAATTACAGGCAGCCAGCAGCCAGCAGTCAGCAGAAGTAGCCTGCAGTACTGCATTCTAACCACTGCATCACCACAGTGTAGGCTTCAACCCCAATCATAAGCCAGTTCAGAACTATAGCTTCCAAGACCTACAAGTTTCTGTTGGGTCCTGGGCTTCTTCTGCAGTTAGATATGACCCATCTATTCATAAAATAAATTTATTTAACTAATGTAGAATCAACTGATTTTGCTTGGAGAACTTTAATATTTGTAGATATTGTAGTTGCAAATGCAGATAATGATGCTCAGAACCAGTGGTGAAATGTAAAATTAGTTACTACCGGTTCTGTGGGTGTGGCTTGGTGGTGGCGGGGTAATGTGACTGGGTGGGCATGGCCAACTTTTTTTTTTTTACTTTTAAAAGCATTTTTTCTACAACCTCTTCGGCCAAAGAGGTTGCAGAAAAAAATGCCTTTAAAAGGCTCTGACAATCCCAGCTGAGCCGCGCGATCATCAGAGGCTTTTTTTTTTTACTTTTAAAAGCATTTTTTCAGCCGAAAAGATTGTAGAAAAAATGCTTTTAAAAGTAAAAAAAAAGCCTCTGATGATTGTGCGGCTCAGCTGGGCATGGGGGGGAGCGCAGGGATTTTTGCTACCGGTTCTCTGAACTAGCCGCCTCTATCGCTACCGGATCGGGTGATCCGGTCCAAACCGGGAGCATTTCACCCCTGCTCAGAACATATACAATGGTGCAATTCCTACTGAATTTTCTTCAGCTTCTAATGCATTTCCAGTCAATTTCACTTGGTGGTGCTGAGTCAACAAAAATCTGTGTGCAGCATTTTTGATGGGAAAAAGATATCCAGACTTGTAGCCGCTAAAGCTTTTTTGCATGCATTTCATTTTGAAGGACATAATGAAAACTTCAATATCGGTATCTGAACTTTGAGGAAGAATCTTTCTTATGGCGGTCTTTTCACTGCCGAAAATAATTATCATTATTATTTGTTATACTCATGTATGTGTAATTGTTTTCTTTCTCATGTTTGCTTTAAAGGCAACGAGAGAGACTGAAAGAAAGAAAAGTATGAGAATGCATTTTAATTTTTTTTTCACAAAATGATATAACTTGAAATAGTCAGTCAATCTGTCTGTCTATCTATCTATCTATCTATCTATCTATCTATCTATCTATCTATCTATCTATCTATCTATCCTCTTTCTCTCTCTCTCTCTCCCCCTCTCAACCCACCCACCCACCCATCCATCCATCCATCCATCTATCTATCTATTCAAATATTTGAAAAATTCCCACATAGAACTTGTGATGGCATAAATGGCCCCTTCAACTCTAGTGACTCATTGAAGTATAAATATTCCAAGAGACTCTATCTAAATACTCTGCTACTATTTTGGTTTATACTCTAGATATGTCCATTACTTCAGTGGTCTGCTGTCTGGCACCATCAAAATGAACAACAAGCCCCTCTTCTTGCATCATGTCATCATGCATGGAATACCCAACTTTGAATCTAAAGGAGGTAACTGACCTTTCCATCACACATTATGGATGTGTGATGGATAGCATTCAATTATAGGTCTCCACTGGGTGAAAAGATACCATACGGGTCCTTACAACTTCTTTTTCTTTAATGACTGCCTTTATGGCCAGAGGAGTTCCAAAGGAACAAGGTTGTGAGCGTGCTGAAGTGACAGAATGGACTACACCATTTCCAAGAGTCAGTTGGAGAAAGCTGTTCTTGAATGATCTCCTATGGTACATTCTCTATAGAAATAGAAAACCAGATGGGAAATGGGATTGCTCCCACTGATGTTCTAGGGTTGTGTTTAAAGGGATTTCATCTTTCCTGGGAGCAGAACTCCACATTTGTGGCTAAAAATGGTGAAGCCTCTTCTACTGTTTCTGCATTCTGCTTCCCCTTCCTACTCCACAGACTGCCTTCAGTCTTAGTTGCTATAAAGACGGCTTAGCTTTATGAGTAAATAAATCCAAGAAGGGATGAGCAGATCAATGTAAAATGTGTTTTATTGTCGGTGTTAAAAGACACAATGATTACAATTTATTCAATCTGAATTCAGGCTCTCATATTCCTAATCAGGATGTTTGAGGAGAGCAAAGAATAGAGCTACCCTGCCTAACATCATCATAATGCAGTTATAGAGTGATTTGTATCCTAACGAGTAGGATAAGCTTTCAGCAGTCTAAAAAGCATATGGTTAGATTCATCAAAATATCTGTCTCTCCGTAACTTGATCTTGGCTGGTCTGGATGTTGGGCATATAATTCACAAGACGAAAGCTATCTTAATTTATTTAATTTTCTGTTTCCTGAGCTTTGGCTCTTAACAGAGTCCTATATAAGACTTGAGCAGAGAAAGCATTAAACCAATGTTAGTCACCCACAGCAATTTGAAGATGTGTGGACTTCAACTCCCAGGATTTGCCCAGCCAGCATGTGTCTAAACACTGTAGTTAAACTTTGCCTCAAAATAATGTATAAACCTGCTGCTTGACCATGCTTTACTGCTTCCCACAACTTCTACCTGTGTCTCCCCAAAAATAAGACCGGGTCTTATATTACTTTTTGCTCCAAAAGACTCATTAGGGCTTATTTTCTGGTTTGGTCTTATTTTTGGGGAAATACGGTACTAAATGCATCCATCTGGCTGACAATCTTAACTGGGGCTTATTTTGGGGGGTAGGGCTTATATTATGACCATCCTGAAAAATCATGCTAGGAGTTACTTTCTGGTTGGGTCATATTTTCAGGGAAACAGGGTACCACTGACACAAACCTAGAGTTGTTTGTTACAAGGAGGGTATTGTCATTCTCCGCCAGTGAAACTGTTTGCCTTGGCCCCTTCATGTTGCCTTCTCTGTAACTAAGACCTTTTTCTCTGTCTATTTTATGTTTCCTAGGCTGCCGGCCCTTCCTCAAGATATATCAGGCAATGCAACCGGTCTACACATCAGGAATCTAGTAAATGGAGTTGACATTATTATTTTGATTTACATCACTCAGATTTCTTCTTGGTCCTGATGCAAAGCAGAGTAGAACTTTCTATGAGCTTTTCAGTAGAGGTGGTATCTTGTAGACCTAGTTCCGTGTGTTATTCTGAGTTTTGCTCTAGAGTATATGACTGGCACAGAGACTCCCCGCTGTTCCTGGGGCTGCATTTATTTATTATTATTACAACTAAAACCAAGTGTATCAAGGACCTCAGGAGACTTATCAGCTCTATATCAGCGTTTCCCATTCTTCTCTTTCATAGCATTCAGCTTAATTTTATTTATGCAATTTTACATTTATATATTGCCTTTCCCCTAAAGAGTTACAGATAGTTATACAAAATTAGCCTTCATTTTATTGTTTAAATTCTGAGATAGTTTGGGTTGGAAAAGCATTATTGGCTCACAGTTATCCAGAGAGAAATAACTTCCTTGATTAAAGTTTATTTTCCTCTTCTATCTACTTGAATTTAAACCAGCCATTTATTAATCAGTTTGATGTATACATGCAATCAATCTCCATGAAACCTTTATTGAAGAAAAAATGTGAAATAGGGAATCATCTTTATTGCTTTCCTTTCCATTCAAATCAGCAAATGGTACCATTAAATCATAATGCCATCAATCACAATTTACCTTGGCTGGTATTGACCAACTAAAATTGAATTTATTCAATGAATTTGTTCAGTAAAGCTCTGGGACAATGAAAGAACAGCAAGATACTGGATGAAATGAAGATTATGGCAAACCTTTATCCACGTACATATAAGAAAATTCTTGCTTTTGTGGTATTCATGTGCATAACAGAAAACTTAGAAGTGGAAATGCTGACCAGGTCCAGATATACCAGCTGCTCACAGTATATTTAGAACAGATTGCATGAAGAATAGATACAACAAAATTTGATAAGGTCATTCCCAGAAAGTCATCATTTTTGTGGATCATTACCTTTTTGCTACAGGTAAACTACTGGATCAGTTTCTAATGCTGATCACAGCAGATCTAAGCAGTGTTTCAGGATCAGTAAAAATGATTTAGCAAGTGTAGTACAAAGCAAAAATAGAAATGCTAAAACAGCAGAGTGGTTTCTTTTATGAAAAAAAAATTCTCAAGAAGTTCAAGGAGTATAGCAGTTGTTTCTCTCATATATTCCCATATATTCTTCCAAACAACCCTGTAAGGTAAATTGGGCTGAGGGAGAGTGACGGACCAGTAACTTGAAACTTGGATTTTCCTAGTCTTGGTCTGACATTTTGTGACACCACCTTGACTGTGGCCAGGACGTGGCAGATGAAATGAATCTTAGCTATTGAGTTGCTTTGATTGTCTTCCACATTTTGCTTCTTTCTACTTCTTTATAGCAATGTGCAGGGAGACAGCCAGACAAGCATCTGTATCACCATAGAACCGGGACTCCTCTTAAAGGGAGATATTTTGGTAAGAGTCAAAAGTTGTACATTTTCATTTTTATCACTGGGGGTCTTTAGATCGTAAAAGTTGGCACCCCATTTAAAGACTCCATAATAGGCTTAAGAGCGTTGCAACCTGTAGTCCATATTCCATGTACTTAAGGAGAGTTCATTGTCTTTGTGGGGAAATGCAGAGAAACGATATCTTTACAGCAGCAAAGGACTCAAGTATAGAATTCCTGCAAGTGGCTAGAATCATTCCTATTCTCAGGTAGGTTCCCAGGTGATGGCATGTTTCATTTTGTTTCCTTTATGCCCTCTTTCACTGGCAGCTGAAATGCTATCACAAGGAATTCCGTAGCCCGACGCGGGATGTAATCTTTCGGGTGCAGTTCCATACCTGTGCCATTCATGATTTGGCTATTGTCTTCAATAAAGAGGACCTGGATGATGCCTTTAAAGGTAAAGACAGTGTTGTTCAAGAAGAGAGAGTGAATGGGTTATTCATAGTAATAAAATGCATGACATTGCGGGGGCCTTTGTAATCAAGTTGTGGCTTTTCTAGAATGGTTCACTCTATGGTACCAGGGTGTGTGCTTGGGAGGAAAAATCAATATTTGTAGTATATATTCAGTTTAGAAGGCATTTCACTTTATTTAGCAAGCACTTGTGAGAAGTTCAGATAAGGAATTATATGTACTGTAATTGTAACCATTACATGGCATTCCATTGTTTTATATTATCATCCTCAGATATTCTATGTAGTTTTTGATTATGTTTAAGTAGAACATATCTGAAATGTACCAAAGTTGGTATTTAGGCCCATCGCTACCTTTTTTTTTTTTTTTGCTGAATGAGATTTCAGTTGGTCCTTTTTATATTGTATGCATTTGTATTTGTCTAGAAGTCTGCAAAAACAGTCTAGGAGGTTTTTAAATTTTTTTTCCTCATGTTTTTATGGAGCACTGAAATATCAGACAGCAGATCCTACTCTAATTGTTCTGCCAGTAGTGGACAAAAATCAGTGCTTGAGGAAATAATGATCGTACAGCTGTTGGCCATTCCAGGGGCAATCCTATCCAAAAGGAAATTCTTGACTCCACTAGAAAGGAGTGGGGAATCCTGTGCCTTGTTAACAATCCCGGTGCATGCTTGAAGAGGATAAGTTCCCCAAATGAACTTATTTTTCATTTTGCACATGAAGCAAGATCAATGGGGGTTGCCTCCTCTCAGAAACATAGAAAGGGCAGAGACCAGGTCCAGGAGCAAAAAACCATTTTAAAATTGGAATTGGGTTGTCTCCACTGATACTGACTGAGGATGAGCCATCTTGTAATGGAATATAGAGGCAGACAAAACACTGAAGTTTTGAAATCTGAAGGAATAGCCAAAGAGAGGGCTATAATCTTTTCGGTATGAGAACCCTGAACTAAATTTTCCTGTCAGGAAATGGAGAATCTTCTGTTCCCATTCTGCAATGTCTCTTATGAAGTGCAATAAGTCCTGCAGACTGGGCCATTACCATTATACTATTATCAGCCTGATTATATTTATAAACTGACATTTAGAAGTGTGCACGAGAGCATTCATGCACAAAACAAATGTATGGTGGTTTGGAAGTTTGGAGAGACCGGTTTGGGCAAGTCATGATACAGTCATGATCCAGCCAAATAGAAACCTGGAGCCTTTTGATGTTCTGGATTTTGGATGGAAAAAAAATATCTAAAGGAGACATATAATAATAATAACTTTATAGTCATTGTACATGTATACACAGTATACCCATACAACAAAATTCACTTAACACCCAAAGATCAGGTCCAACACACATAACAATCCCCAAACACACCCACACCCACCACAAATTCCCCTCCCCTAAACCACCCAAACATCCACACAACAGATCAAGTAATGCTGTCCAACAGCTCACTGTATGGCTGATTTAGGGCAAAACTGATGTACTCTTCTCCAAATACTCTGTGTGCCAGCCCACCAGCTGATCTGCTCAGAGCCTTACGTTCCTACCACTGTAACTGAATTCAGGTTGGGAATCATCAGCTGATCAAACTTCATCTGGTCTTCCCAGTACCTTCTTTCTTACTTCTGCTTAGACACTGATTGTACCACCATTTGGTCTTCTATGTTTCGGTCTATGCACAGGCCGCTCTATAATGCCTCACCTGTTCAAAGAACATACTTACTGAATACCATTTTGTCTTTTCTTTTTTTAAAAAAAAAAAATCAGATGAGAGGTTTCCTGAGTATGGGAAGGTGGAATTTGTATTCTCCTATGGTCCCGAGAAGATTCAAGGTATTTACTTTTTTGCAATAGTCACCATTTGCTTTCTTCCTTTTACCCCTCTCCGTTTATAGGCCTCAGAAATTGTACATTTGTTTTGTTAAACTTGCTGCCAGAATAAGTGGCCTGATATAATTATTTTCCCCCTGTATCAGTACTGAAAGATTCAAAATCCACAGTAGAGTCAATATTAGCAGATAATTGCTGAGTTACCAAAAGTCCTCACAAACAGATGGCCATTTCTCTTTGCCCGGTGAACTAAAATTCCATTCATTATATTCCTGAATAACTACTGTTCTTACAGTAAACAGAGAGGTCTTTTTGTGTGAAATTGTTCCCTGATCTATATATTTCCTTACTCCTTGGGCAAGTTCTTTGGCTATTGCCTCGATTCTAGATACGGTTCCTCCTTCCTTCAATAGCTTAACTGGGAAATCTGGCTTCATGTCTTGACTTTCTCATACTGAGGTATATGGATTAGACCCACTACCCTTTTATCTTATTTCTTCTGATTTCTCATATTTCCTTTATCATGTTACTCCTTTTTTCCTCACTGCCCCCACACCAAAAACTCTGATCCTGAAATTATGCTATCCTTGCTTCTCAGGCATGGAACATTTAGAGAATGGCCCAAGCGTCTCAGTGGACTACAACACATCAGATCCGCTCATCCGCAGGGATTCCTATGAAAACTTCAATATACGTCGTGAAGACAGCATGGATGGTAGGTGATGCGGATTGCCATCTCACGTAACTTAGCTTTCGGATACAAACACCCTGGTGCACCATCTAAATAGATACCAGCTCCATGCAAGCAAGCCTTTTCTTTTTCTTTTTGCCTTTACTTATGTTGTATGATAGCAGATGTTCTGTGTCTTCTCAATTGCACAAGGTTATACCAATTAACCTTAATTAATAATTAATTAATTATTAGTTAGTTAATTAAAATTAATGTGGTGGCTCATAGGCTAAGACGATGAGCTTGTCAATCGAAAGGTTGGCAGTTCAGCGGTTCGAATCCCTAGCGCCGCATAATGGGGTGAGCTCCCGTTACTAATCCCAGCTTCTAGCAGTTCGAAAGCACGTGAAAAATGCAAGTAGAAAAATAGGGACCACCTTTGGTGGGAAAGTAACAGCGTTCTGTGCGCCTTTGGTATTTAGTTATGCCAGCCAGCGCTGGCTCTTCAGCTTTGAAACGGAGATGAGCACTGCCCCCTAGAGTTGGGAACAACTAGCACATGTGTGCAAGAGGAACCTTTACCTTTACTTTTACACCAATTTACATTTTTTAACCATCTGTACTTGATACAAGAGAGTTGCTTCCTCTGGATTATACAGAAAAACTGCAGCAAAACATGAAACACAATGTTTCTTAGCACACTTCAGTCCATTTTTAAACAGGGAATTATAACATATTGGCTATAATTAAGAGGGCCCTGCTCTCTTTTTCCTAAATAATATTCACAAAATGCCCCAAAGGCATTTTTAGCTCTCTTTGTAAAATTCCTCTTAACAGACGAAAATCAAATGGACAGAAATACGCAAATGCAAATGCTAATAGCCGCAACTCATGCTACCATACTTTGTGGGAGAGCCCATTGCTTTGAGCTCTGCATCTAGAAGAATCCTTTTGGATTTATTTCATTTACTCTTTGCTTCTTCTGTAAAATAGTCCAATGGACTACTGCCCCAGCATGGTTTGTACAGTATTGCTAAGGGTCAATATTAACTGAGCCCAGTAAGCAAAGCTCAACAGCCACATTTTATTTGCCTTGGTTTCCTGCCCCCCCCCACTTGCTAAGTCATGATTGTTTCTGCCACTGCCCTCAATCTATAGTAGAGGCTCCAATCAGGGCAGCATGTCTGGGAGCCAGTGCAGGAAAAGGAATGGTGGGAACAGATGTATTTTCTGGACAGCATGAAGGTCATAGGCTTCTGCCTGAGGAACAGATGGCATGAGTCAAATGTTTTTAGAGTGCCAGAGTGATGAGTACTGTAGAATAAGTCACAGAAAGTAAAGCCAAGTCTGTCACCTGAGTTCTCGGAATGAGCAATGGGTGCTGAAAAAAACAGGATTCCTCGTGTTCCTATGAGGTAGAGAAAGCAAGTTTATGGCCCTCAAGCCGAATGGGATTTAATGGCATTGTTTCCCTCCCATCTTCTTAAGCAGGGTTTAAGAAAACTGACATTGGGTAATTTCTGGATTCCAGTCAGATACGTAGCAGAAAATAGGAATGCAAGCTTGGGTGCATAATGGATATTCAGCTATGAAACTGTTGCTTCTAGTGTTGCTGCAAAAGCAGATTTCCCTTCTATCTGCTTTTTCAAATAAGATTTCAGTGTTTTCAGTTGGATAGGTGTAAAAACCTGCCCATTTTTTTAAAAAATGAAATGTACGGATGTCTAACTCAGCAGCAAAGTCGCTGCAGCGTAAGAAAATTCATCCCCTCCCCCAGTGCTCTTTGGCATTAAGAAGATTTCGCCTGTGCTTAGTTCACCCAGAGAAAATCTCATTAGTTGTTTTCTTCAGGAACAAGAAATTATATTATTATGGTTGGTCACGCAGTTAGCCAGATGTTTAGACTGGATTTGGCATTTTTATCCAAGTCCTTCCCAAGGACCTGGGATAGGCAAATGCTATTGTTTGATGGTGTTAAAGCTATCGTCGCAGGATGTAAGTTGTTCCAAGTAAAGCTACTTTTTTTGCAATTGACTGATGGTGATTGTGTCAATGCCAATGGTGTTTAAGTGGTACTCCAGATGTTTTGGAATTGCACCCAAAGCACTTGTTACTACTGGTACTATCATTGCTTTCTTTTGTCACAATCTACTCCTATTTCTAGAGCTTTGTATTTTGTGATTTTCATCTATTCAATCTAAAGAAATATGAGAAATGCAGCTTGAATAAAGGAGGAGGAGTAAGAGGAAAAGTTGAAATGAAAAAAACTTGTAATAACAGCAGAAAGAGTGGATTTGACCTGGGTAGATAGATCTTTGCAGTTTTTCCAATTCTACTTTTGTGAATACTTTATTTTGTATAATAGACAGCATTGAACTACTAGCCTTATTGTATTACTTCTGATTCTGATGTTTTTTCTAGAACTGGAGTATTCATTTCAGGTATCATCTTCTCATTGGACTTTATTGGTAATAGCAAATCATTATTTCTTTGTTTTCAATCTTCATTTATTTGCTATGAATGAGCAACTTTTCTTCTAGTAAACTTGAAGCTGCTGGCCCTGTTGCTCAGCCAACTGTCCTGAGTTCTGTAACCAGATATCCAGGAATCCCAATATCTAGCATGAACCTTGTTTACTCAAGTGATGACTGATCTGGAACAGCTTTCTGTAAGTTATGTCTCACTATATTGTTTATGGCAGTGGTGGGATTCAAATAATTGAACAACTCTCTGCCCTAATGACTGGCTTGGTGGATGTGGCCATGGTGGGCATGGCCAGGGGTGTGTGACAGGCAGCACTCAGCCTCCTTCACCCCCCCCCCGGGAGCAAAAATGGGCTCCAGGGGGGACGTGCCGCACCCTCTGTGCCCCATTTTGGGCCTAGTAGGCCTCTCTGCAGCCTCCTGGAAGTAAAAACGGGTTGCGGGAGCCCCGCGCTACAGCCCCCAGTGGCCTGGTTTGGGCCTAGTAGGCCTCCCTGCAGCCTCCTGGGAGCAAAAAGAGGCCAGGGGGGCACACTGTACCCCCTGCACCATTTTGGGCTAGTAGGCTTCCCTGCCCTTACCTAGGATCCAAAATAGGGCACGTGGGGACTCCTGGAAGGGGCGGGGCAAGCCAGCAATTTAACAACCAGTTTGCCTGAACCATCCCGAACTGGTTAAATCCCACCACTGGTTTATGGGAGAAACACTTTTCATCTAACTCCTCTGATGAGACCTGACCATTGAACATCTGCCATAGCTCTCAGTTTCTTCAGAGCATGCAAGCTCCACAACCATGTCAAGGTAGGGCCTCACTGGGGGATGATGCTGTTTGTTGTTGATGATGATTTTAATAGCTAAGGCATCCAGTACCAGTTGGATGCTGGTCTAGAGAAACAGGAATGAAACTAAATCTCTGTAGCTATATGAATGTGTGCCATTACCTAAAACGACTAGAAAAAGAGAAAGCAATTTCAACATCTCTGTTGGCAAACAAGAATCCACTCAAACACCATAAGGAAAACAGAATACTTGAAAAGTAATCAAGATAAAGCCCTTTGAATAAAATACTTTGATTGTTATAATAAATGAATATTAATAAACACAATAATGAAAGATTTAATTGTGGTATGACTACTATGAATGATACCATAATAACCAATTAACTGAACTGAAGAAATGAAAAAACTAAGTGGCTAATATTAGCCTATTTAATTCAGAATGCCTATTATCTCAGTTTAAATTTTCTGTGTACTTTGAAATGGGAGTTGATTGCCTTTCCATTTGAATCTCAGGGATGATTACAAGGGATCATAATACAATGTTGTTTTTTCCTGGCAACTTGAGATATATATTATTTACACACACATGTACATATATACATCTGTTATTTCAATGAAGAAAATAATCCCTTGCATGTGGCTTACCTTTCACTACTACACACATAAATATATACATTCCTATTATCCTGTCCCTTTATGGGTTATGCAGATTGTAGAAAAGAAGTAAGAAATACTATGCCAAAGAAATTAAAGGCCTGAGATAAGAAATTTCACTTTTCAACCTATCACTATCATTTCCATATAAGTCTCTAAAATACCCCTTTCAGCCTTCCCTCATTTGTTTAATCTCAAATCTTTTCATCACTGTAATTTTAAATTCCATACAGTATGCTAAATGCTTCTTGTTTAACTCTCTTCATGTTCAAAAACCATTTTTTAAAATTTCCATCAAGATGACTGATTTTTCTTTTGACGTTAACTATTTGTTCTCATTTTCACTACATGCCTTGTAACTTTTTCTCTTCTATATCATGCAATATTCTTTCATACTCTTGTAAAATTGAAATTGCCTATAAATTAAATGAAAAAGAGGATGTTAAAACTTTTAACTTCCTTCCTTCCTTCCTTCCTTCCTTCCTTCCTTCCTTCCTTCCTTCCTTCCTTCCTTCCTTCCTTCCTCCCTCCCTCCCTCCCTCCCTCCCTCCCTCCCTCCCTCCCTCCCTCAAACTGCCCTTATTCATTTTGGGGATCCCTAAATCACTTTTCCTATATTTTCTAACCTCATTACCATATCATGTCATTCATGTTGCCTAGCAGAAAATCATAGAATTTTCCTACAACGTATTTCTGGTTCTTACGGTATCAGCATTTAGGGGAATGTAACATGCCACTGTCTCCATCCTATCAATTCCCATTGTCATATGCATCCACAATAATGTTGATGACATTACTTCATAATTTATGCCGTACAGTTTAGCTTTTTTCATTGAGAATTGAACCTTCATTCCCCTGCCTGAATTCATCACCTCTACTCCGTAGAATCAATCCAAAATAATATTCCTTCCTCTCAAATTCTCAGGCGTGAGAATTATTATCCTTTTCTCTTCATACTGTGGAAAAAGAATACTGTTACATTCTCTCAGTTTTCTTTATCCTTGTTTTTTCATCAAAAGCAAGAGCAGTATTTAAGAGGACTGACAGCCCTTGTGTCTAAATGACTATTTAAAAACACTGTATCCAAAACAGTGTATTTGGACGCAGTTAAGCTTTGGAAAGAACAAAA